AACAAACAAAAAACCTTGAGTGCCGCCCCACCGAACCAAAAAAACAAAAAACCCTAAGCCCCCCCGCCACCCCAAGATTGGCCGCCCCAAGCACGTGCTTGGTCGGTTGGTGCCTGGAGCCAGCCCTGGTCGGAGGGTTACTTTAACCTCCCCCCCGCCCCCCAAAAAACCAACAAACCCTGGGATTATCTTGTAATTTCTATTTCCCTCAAATGGGAGGGTCTGTAGCCTCAGGCTTTGCATCACACAAAGGCCACCTCTTAGGAAACCCTTAAATCAAATCATATCCCAGGGTACAACAGGTTAAAAAAAAGAACTGAAACACCCCCTACAGCAGATATTCTCAACTTTTTCTACGCCATGACTCTATGTTTACAACAGAAAGAAGTTTTGGCACTCGTTCTCCCATCTGAACATAAAGAAAGGGAAGGTAGCCATGACCCCCCGCTAAGAACCTACAGGTAGAGGTGGAAGGGGGAGGGGACTTGTACGGATATTGCCTGTATACCAGTCCCAGCGCAGGCAGCAGGAGGCTTATGCTGGCTGCAGAGCACCTTCTGCACTGGGGCTGCAGCTGCTGTGGTCAGTTCACCGGGGAGGGACACAGTTTGCACAGAAAAGGGGAGGGAAGGAGGCAGCTGTGGGAACCTGCCAGTCACTCCTCCCTCAGCAGCAATGCACCCGGTATCTGCCCACTGCAGCCGAGTCCCCTCAGTGTGCAGTGGGAGGGGAGGGCAGCCGGGTCTCCCTTCCATAGCTGGGCACTCCCACTCCCCCAAGCACCACTTGGAGCACAGCCAGGCAAACTCCTGTGGGGGAGGGGGGGGGAGAGAACAGGATATCCAAAGTTAGGTGAAACTTTCACAGGCACGTGACCATCAGGGAACTACAATAACCATTGTGGCCACATGAGGAGAACCGTCCCCTCCCACAATTACTGCCTATCTGATTAGGGAAAGGAGTTATTAATAATGGGCCAGCCTGGCCCTGGGTGCAGGTCTTCTTTTGCTGGTTTTCTCCTCTTGTGAATTCTGTGTATGGTTGCATCTAAATTTATGAACATGCAGTATACCATTTTTTTTTCATTAACAGTTTATCACCTCTGGGAACATTATGCTTCTTCTTGCAGAAAATACAATTTTTTTCTTGCAGTAAATTGCCTGTGCTCTGAAGTTTGGGAGGAACCAACATGCAATGAAAGAAAGACAGATGTATAAATGAAGCATGCACACAACCAGCTGAAGCATAGCTGGAGTCTGGCAAGAAAAAAAAAAGAATCATATCAAAAGTGACACTCCAGCAAGAGTTGAATATAAAAGGCACTGATCAAACACTGAATTTTCTGTTAAGTGCTTCCTATCTCCTACAGCACACCACTCCACATAGCATGATATTTTTATATCGTACGCAAAGAACAATCATGGATCACAAAAAAGCAATCATTTGAGTGAGAGCTGAACATCCCTAATTCAACATACTCCTGCTTTTGTTGGTCTCTCATGGTATATGTGTGAGAAGCACCTCAGACTTTATTCTGTGTCCCATTATTATTTATATTTGTATTACAGTAGCATTTAGCAGCTCACTGAGATTGGAGCCCCATGCTGTTGGGCCCTGTACAAAACCACACCACGCTGAAGTCCTTGCTCTAAAGCACTAACAATGTAAACAAACAAGATAGATGAAGTACATAGCATTACACCCACCTTGAGATGTGGAACTGAGGGAGACTGAGTGACACACCCAAGGTTGCCCAAGAAGTTTGTGGTAGAGCTGGGAATTGAACCCAGCTTTACTGCATCCCAGTCGAGAGCATCAGCTACAAGCCTGTCCTTTGCCTCCTGGAAAAAGCCCCCTAGGTTTGCACCAATGACAATCTTTACACTAAGACAAGGTAGGTGAGGTAATATCTTTTGCGGGATCAACTTCTGTTCATGAAAAACAAGCTTTTGAGCTACATAGAGCTTGTCTTCTTCAGATCTGGAAAAGGTATTTTTCCCAGGTACCTTTCCCAGACCCGCAGAAGAGCTCTGTGCAAGCATGTCTCATTCGCCAACAGAAGTTAGTCCAATAAAAGATATTACTTTACCCACCTTGTCTCTCTAATATCCTGGGACCAACATGGCTACAACAACACTGCAAACAGACTTCTCATGTGAGTAATAGGAAATTTGTCCTAGCAGCAGTGTATTTCAAGTTGAAATATCACTGATTACTTCGTGAAGTCCTTCAATGGCCATGTCAGATATCAAGATGCCATGAGAAATGAGTAAGTTTAGCTTTTCCTCATTCTTAATAAAACTGTCATTGTCACATTCACATTGTGGATTTTGATTCTCATTCTCAGCACTCATGATATTTTCTCATTCATGTTTGAGTTTCACATTCATTGTGGATTCCTAAGAAAAACAAAAACTGAACAAACCTGCCACCACACTTCTACTTTCACAGAACTTTTTAGTTTGTAGGCATTGCTTGCACAATCTCTTTCATAGGGAAAGTATATTCAGGTTTTTTTTTTTACTTTTTAAAAAAACTTGCATGCCTTACCGCATACTGTGGGTATTGTTTATATTACAGAAACTGACCACTGCTGACAAAGGCATGGTTACAGTGGCATAGTCTGGCTAGGATCCACAGAACCAAGTCAATTAAGCTTTGGATCAGAACCCCACAGTATTCAAAATTTGAAATATGATATTGAGAGTTTTAAAGGTTAAAGATCAGTGGCCAGTGATCAGAAGGCAATTGATCTACAGGAGATTGAGGGAAGTGATTATTCCCCTCTATTTGGCACTGGTGAGGCCACACCTGGAGTATTGTGTCCAGTTTTGGTCTCCCCACTACAGACGAGATGTGGACAAATTGAAGAGAGTCCAGCGGAGGCAACGAAAATGATTAGGGCGCTGGGGCACATGGCTTACAAGGAGAGGCTGAGGGAACTAGGGTTATTTAGTCTGCAGAAGAGAAGAGTAAGGGGGTATTTGACAGCAGCCTTCAACTACCTGAAGGGGGGTTCTAAAGAGGATGGAGCTCGGCTGTTCTCAGTGGTGGCAGATGACAGAACAAGAAGCAATGATCTCAAGTTTCAGTGGGGGGAGGTCTAGGTTGGATATTAGGAAACACTATTTCACT